ATGCCAAGTACTTGACTCACTTGTTTTTGTTTTTCCAGTCTTAGTGCTTGCATTATTAAACATTAAATTCCTTACTCCTGGCGGCATTATGTTACTATTTTTTGCCTCTCCTTTAACTGGAAGAGGGTAGTGTTAGTACCTTGAGACTCTTATCCTGAGAAACAAGAACAAAATAAAGGGTTTTCTTTGATCGTAATAGTGCTTAAGAGCTGATCTTGTGTAGATTGTAGATCAGTGCTGTTATGTGCTGAATTTTTTAGCCTTGGAGCAGGTACAGTGCAAGGGAAGAACAGACAGATGCTGGCAAACAGGAAAGGTTACAACATCCAGTCTCATACCCAATTTTATACCTGGTATCTGTCTACCACATTTCTGGGCTCTTCAGGTAAACCCGTAATGAGTATCTAAAAAAATTGGTTGTATTCATTCTCTCACAGAACTCGTGAGATCAAGGAATTGCCTTTGTGCTTATTTTACAGATTTGATAAGGCTGTGATACAAACCCGTATGCTGTGAAATTCCTGGTGCCAGAGTGAATCTAAAACTGTATTTGTGTCAGCAGCTGCTGTGCTTTCAGCTGTGATGACTTTGCTATTGCAGGTCTATGCTTCTTTTTCAGAAGTTTGCCTCTTGTTTATTATTTAGCCACATACACAGTCATGCTGGCATAGCAAGGAGATATTACTTTCAGATGCCTTACATTATGAAGGTTGGGCCTAAATACTGTGCTCAGGATAACGCAAGAAATGTGTGTCAGAACAAGAAATTAATCACAAGTCTTCAAGTTAGGCTACATACTAAATCATACTTTAGGCTTGAACTTCAACTTGATAATTTTAAATTTGTTTGTTGAAATTTTTGTTCAGATCTGCTGCTTCAGTGAGGGTTGACTTCTTATTCCACTTACAACAGTGTCCTACTCTTTTCCCTTTGAAAAAGAGGCTAGATGGAGTAGTTTTGATTCCTCAATAGGGCACAACTAACATTGTAAACACCATAAGACACATTTTAGTCCCTAAATCTTTTCTGGGGCACTGTTATGTGGGATGTTCTGGACTAGATAGTCTTGTGACATTAGTCTGTATAATTTCCATCCTTTTTTCCAAGCCCATGTCTTTAACTGTTGCCTAAATTTTGCCTATTGTCCTGTCCTGTATGTTTCTAAACAATTTAGGGGATTTCCGTGTGGTATTTGTTTTGATAGAGCTAAGTGCATGTACAGAAATACAGTGTAAACAAACGAAGAATTTTCTGTTTGATCCGACACTAATTGTCATTCTTGGCTGTTGTGCAGGCCAGCAGAAGTTCAATATTTTCTGCTCTGATTTTCATCCTGAATCATTTTAACTAGCAGTAAATATGCAACTGTTTGTCTCTGTCTTGGTTCTAAGCATATTTATGCTTATTAAAGTAATTTGAAATTGTTTCCAGAAGCAAACCACAGTTGTTGTTTTTAAACTAGAGGAATCACATAGAGAACTTGATGTATTTGTCAACTCTATCTTGACAGAAATTATTCATGTTCAGGAGAAAAATAAGAAAGGTGATCTCAAACCTAAAACATTGGTATGAGTTGAGAATGTGTTGCTATGACAGAAAAAGTGTTTACTGTCAATTAGTATTTATTATAGCAGAGCTTGGAGAACATCACTTCCCAGAAAATGGTTTCCATCAAGGAAGATATTTTGGATAGCTGCAGCATTTGGACAGCAGAAGTGGTCTTGGCTTGTACCTCCCCTGTCAGATAAATAAATCTATGTTAATCAAAGGTTGATTATTTTTTAGCTGACCTGTTAGAGAAGACATGAGAGATTTCTGTTGAGTAAATTAAGTGATGCCATCTACAGGATAAATGTCCAGTTTACAGATGGCTGCTTCATTATCAGATCATTATCTCCATCAATGTTGAGCGGTAAAACAGCTAGAGATTATCAGTGGTCCTCCTGGGAGGCTTTCCCACCCCCATTCTGCTGTGCAATGGCATCTCTCCCTGACACCCACTGAATGCTGATATCATAGCTCTGCACAGAGAGTGCCTTGAGACCACCAGAGAATGTCAGGTGTGCAGGTGGGGTGAGGCACCCGAGTAGGACTGCCTAGAGAGATACACATTGAATTGCAACAGGAGTGATAGACTTTACTATAAAGTGACTGAAAGCTTCAGGTAAGAAGCATTTCAGCATTTCTGAGTTGCTGCTATGGTGTTACTTTTCAGAGTTATGCTGAAGTTCCACACTTGCTTGCTCTAAAAGGTGTGTACCATCAATGAAGTCAAGTTTCTATTTCTTGCTTTAATTTCAAGTAATTTCTGCTTTCTGCTCTGAGAGTAAAACCTTATTGCATGTATAAACTCTGCCTATAGATGTCAAACTTTGAGAAAGTCAAGTGAAATTATAAATTGTATAGAATTCCAACATATAGTTTTAGTCACTGGAAGGAGTACCACTTATGCTGCCCTGGATGTTCTTTCCAAAAGATTTAAATTATAAAATAATTAGTATCCACTAGCAAGTAAAAACAGTGTAAAGTATAATTAGAAGTACCATTTATCTTGAACAGTTTATCGAATTGAGATTTCATAAAGGTTATTATGTCACAAATTCAATATACAGCATTTATAGCTTTATGATATCAATTGTCTTTAATCTTTGGTACATTTTAACTGTCACATAAATTGACTAACATTAAAGATTATTGGAAAAATCATTCTTAATCCTGAGGTAATAATGACTTCATTTTAAAACATTCAAAGTTGTATAATGTTGCTGTTTCAATTACTTTTTCTTTCTGTTTTGGGTCGCTGTGAGAATGACTAGAAAGTGATGGCAACTTTGTGTTACCATTAAGTGCAATGATTTCACCATATCCTCACAACATTTTGACTCAAGGAAATGCTTATTGAATCCAGAATACCATAAACTGATGGATTACTTGCTACATATATATTGTTTAGTGTGCATGTTATAAGTTGTAATTATGGGAATAGATTCTAGATCAATACATTTTCTTTAGAATCCACCTGTTTCTCTGGCAACAAAAATCCCAGCAGAAGTAAGACACTGAAGTAAATTCTTCAGCTGTAAACAAAATAGATTTTTTTTTTGTTTGTTTAATTCAGTTATTAGTTCTACCACTGATTTTGTTTTTCACATTAGTAAAACTCTGCACCTGCAAACCAGGAAATGTGGCTGTTACAACATTGTGGAGAAAAACAGGAAGAAAAGTTATGGAATGTTTATTTCTTTGACCATCTGAATTACAGAGTCACAGCACTGGTCCAAACCTTGCTAAGAAGCATATTTTGCTAAGAGCAACTATTTAAATTATAGACCAGAATCTGTTGATTTATTATCATAATGTAATAGATGGATCAACATGTTACTATTTTTAATGCAGGCAATGGAGCAAAGAAATGTTTTAATATTTTGAAAACCACATTCACCCAGAATGGGAAACAACTGTTTCACCAACTCTATTGGAAATGAGTAGCAAGATGAAAATATTGTAAAATTAACAGTAGCAGAACACTTAATCTATGTTTTGTAATATTTTTGCAAGACTTCCAGTTAAAAAGCAGTACAAATCCTTCTAGTGGCTGTATTTCTTGAAGATGTAGAGAGAGAAAACCTTGAAGCAAAAAATAGGAAGGCCATGGTGGTTACTCCCATTTTCTGCTCTTTCAACCACATATTTAGCTGAAACCAAAACTGCATATTTGGTAGAGTTTAGAGGACAGAAAATAAAATATTATTATTGGTATGGGATACAGCTACCACAGGAATAGATATTTTTGAAAACTTCCTCTGAGTGAGTAGTGTTGCAAGAATTATTTTACTAAATCTTCTTTTCCAGCATAAATATTACATTTCTTATCAATTTCCCTGATCATTTTGAAAAGGTAAATGACTACCTACCATTGATGGAAAAAATTACAATATAATCACACTTCACATTACAGTACAGAGAGTGCCATTTTGACACTAAGTGGTATGAAGATTTTTAAATATAAATATCTGTATAAACACGTATTCTTGTCCTTTCCATCCCCTAAATCGGCAGCAGGTTCAAATTTTTCTTCCTTTCATGATCCAGATGAATTGCTCTGGTGCAGTGCTGTGGAGATAATGTCTGCATACAGAAAAGTCTAAAGCCTAAACTTCAGAAGCAGGTTCCTACTTAGGCTTACATTCCTGCCTTTCTTTATTTTTTTGAATATATAAATCAATACATAATTTTTAAACAGATTGTAGAGTGAACAAAAACAGATGCCTCACTTTGCTTGAGTTGTCTAAGCACTTCTGTCCACTGAGTTTGCATTGTGGAAAAGTACTTTTTCAGGACTCAATTTCAACATTTAAATACTTTTTATTTCATTTGGAACATTTTTTTCTTTTCATTAGGGAGAAATAATTTTAGTTATGCCAGATGTTATTACTCTGTTCATTATTGTTTAACCAGAAACATAATTCTTACTACTGTATTAAACACAACTGATGGGGTTTTTTAGCTATAGATGAGAGCAAGAATATTTGCTGTCTTTGTACTGTGGTGTGTTAATATTTTGCATTGAAGGAGAAGACAAAGATTATGGCTAAGTTTCTGAGGAAAGGCAGAATGTGAAATGTTTCATATTTCTAGAGGGCTTTGGGAAATGCCATTAAATGGGGCCTTATTTTAAAATCACCCTTTGTTCTATTTCTAAAGTCCCATCTGTCACTCAGTGAACATCTTCAAAGGACAGGTGTAATGGCATGCTGGCTGTAAGGCTGGAAGTGTAAGAAGTAGGCAAACTGCAGTGGGAGTTTGTTTACAATTACTGCTAAAGAATAATTAGGTACTTTTTGACTCTTGTCATTTGTCTTATTAGATAAACTGTACTTTGGAAACAAGCTATCCACTTATAAACTTTCCCAGCTATGTAACTTGGTAAAGCACAGCACTTTGTCAAAGCAGATCCATTAAGCCTCTGACTGGTGCTCTTCTCTTGGGTTTGATTGCAGCACCACACAGAAGCCCCCAGCCCATCACTGCTACCCCCATCAGCCTTGCCCTTGGATGTATTAAACAACGCCGTTGCTGGATTTAGCACTGTGGAAGACCTTATCCGCTATCTTGAACCAGATCGGTGGCAACTGGATTTGGAAGATTTGTACAGGCCAACATGGCAACTTCTTGGGAAAGCATACATTCATGGGAGGAAGTCAAGAGGTAATTTACTCTTCTGTCTGACCTTGTAGCTTTCTACAGGTATGATTTCTTGACAAAGAATTTAGAATGTTCTTCACCTTGATTTTTGGTTCCAAGAAAGGAATACAAAGAGAGAGCAGATACCATGGTTGTTAGCTGTCTCACCATTGCAGTATTTGAAAAAGGACAATAGCTAAACTCCAAATGTAAAGGAATTTAGCAGGATAGGTCAGCAAATGGGAATAAAAAAAAAAACAAAAAAAAACCAGCAGCAAACACAGTAGTTAGTTTCCTGTAGGGAATCTGGGAGATCTTTATTTCCCTAAAGCAGGACATCTTGATGGGGTAATATTTTAAATTTGTGGGTTTATTTTATTATGGAGGGCAAAAGCTTTATTTTTGAGGTAGGTAATGTCTTACTCTACATGAAATGAATTGAGAGCAATTACCCGAACGTTTCTGTTTGATGACAGCTTAGGAAATACCATGTGTACATGGCTGGGTTATCATGCAGTTGTCAACTTCATCAGAAGTTAAGTAGATTGTGTTTTCAAAATTTGTAGATCTATTGAATAGCAACTCATTTTCTTCCTTCTACATCTGACACTCATGAATTTCCTGCCACATCCCATTCAGATGCTACCCGCTGTTTCATGTTTATGGATAACACGTGGATGGATAGTGTGAAGGCAATACCGCCTTCCTTGCCCACCATACAGCATGGAAAGGAAACCATATGAGCATAACTGAACAGACTTCCCCGTTGGTGAATGTAAACTAAAAGGTTATCATCTGATCAGCAAGAAAAGGGAGGAAGTAGAGCCTTTCATTGCTCAAATTTAAGGGTTTGACAGTTAATTCTTAGATCAGAGCCCAGAAATCAACCTTTGTACCCTATCACATTGCTGTAGCTGTGCATAGAGAAGCTAAATTGTAAGCCAAAGAGGAGGAAATATCTTTAAAAGCTCTCAAACAGTCATTTAACACTTCCTTAATTAAAGAGATTTAGTATTTGCCAAATGCATGCCATAAGCACACTGTAAGTGGGAGAAAAACAAAATGCAGGTGTTGGATAACATCAACATAGACAAAAGAAATTCCCTGCAAGACTCATCTTAGAAAGAAACTATCAGAGTAAATCTTTTAAAGACTTCTAATTAGATGCTGAAATAGATTTTTTCACTGAATAAACATATCATGGTATTGCTACATTTGACTTAGAGACTACCCTCAGACTGTATTACTGAGTCTGTAATATAATAGCCTGAGGTGGAAAATATGTCCAGTTGAAATAACATACAACTATTAAATAGGAAGGAAAAGCAAAACCATTTTCATCCTTTTTCTTTTTTTTTCCCATGTTACTCTCTCAAGCAGCATGCTTGCTGTCTTTTGAAACCTTTTTAAGAAATGTTTGTCAGAAGTGCCTATCCTAAAATTTTTGGTTTTGTTCAAACTTTTTGATTCATGATTAGATCAGTTTCATTTTTGCAGTGTTTCAGTGTAAAAGCTAAATTACTGTCCTGTTTTCATAAACAAGTTACTAAAACTGTATCTCACTTTATGCAGATAAATGTCCTGTACTCCTACGTCATAATTTGTATAAAAAGACTATATTTAGACAACCTAAATTCCAGAGAACTTCTGTCTCTGATGTTTTCTCTGGATGAAATGTTTCCAAAAACTTCTAGTCAGGAAAGGAGAAACACCAAGTTCAGAAGCTTTGATGTCTAAATATAGTCCTAAATTCCTTTATACTATTAAACATGCTGAAAAATAAAATTTATTTTGCTGTGCAAAGAAAATTATCCCATCCCTTCCCACTGAAATCTATGTTATAATCATTAGATCATATTCTGAAATCTCCTTAAGGAGGAAAAAACATATTCTAAATGATAGAAAAAAAATCAAAGCATAGTCCTTAGCAGTTGTGGGTTTTGTACAGTTATGTGACTTTTTTTTTTTATACCCCACTTCTTGCCTGAGACTTTGTTACAGCTCCTATTGCAGAAGCCAGTAAGAAACTTACATTCCCAGGAACATCTCCAAAATGCTTAGAAATGAAAACCGTTCTGCTGCTATCTGTGCTCACACACAAGTGCCCCAACCAGAATTTAATTTGTTTCATTGACTTTGAGAGCGGTATCCAGCTGGAAAAATGTTCTGGGGAGGAAGTTTCCCTGTGGTACTCTATACACATCCGGAAGATGCCAGAAAATTGCATTGCCCGTTGCATAACACAATTTCAGGCTGCTGTGACCATGGATTAGTTCAGTTGTGTGTGCCAGTGTCTTGAAATACACTTCACTGTAGGCCTACCTGCGTCTACATTTTTTCTCCTTCACTTATTTTTATTTTAGTGTTTCCCATTTATGTGCTACTGCAGAGCCTTTCAGTCCTCTGGAGCTAGTGCTAGACAAAAGAACCTTGACTGTTGTGTCAAACATGATACATGAGTGGAAGCCAAGTTGAAGGAGTGTTTAAATGTTCACATTGTAACAGGTACTGTAACTCAGTGCACTTGGGAAATCCACATAACCTTTTATTGTGGTTAAGTAAACACTTTTAAGGGAATATATACATTCTCTCATCTAGCTTCATGCCCACAGTGTGTTAAAATAAATTTTGAACAGACAGCTACTCCTTGAAAAAATAACAGCTTCATTCACACACTTCAAAGAAGTGATTATATAAGCACTAGATAAATTTGCCACAGACCTTTTAATGAAATTGAATTACATAAGGTAGGGCAAGGGTTCATTGTGAGGTATCATAGCAATATACCTAAGTACATTTTAAAGCATGGAAATCAAACATGACATTTGTTCATCTCTCCTGAAGCCTGCTGTAAAAGTATAGCACACTGAAAGGTATCTCTTAAGAGCTGACTGTGTGTTCTCCAACAGAACCCTTTTAAAATTAATGTCTGCAGGTCTGGGGGGTTGAGATCAAATTAATTCCTTTTTTGTGACAAAATGTGTAACATGCTGCTTATTTTAGTGCACTGCCCTTTTCTCTATAACTACACCTAGCTGTAGGTATGGAAATTGATGCATTCTTCTGCTGCTGCCTGAAGGCAGGAGGCAATGGAGAAGGACATCACCACACAAGAATCTCTCCCACTGTTCCGTGGGCCTGCTGGAAGAGGTGTCAGTGCCCAGTTTCCACCTTCAATATCTCATGCTGAAGGGCTGAGCAGCACACAAGCTTAGCTCCTTCGAATTTGCTGGAACAAGTATATCAGTCTCTGCAGAAACAATCTTCCAGCAGAAAGTATTAGCAGAACTAGCACTTCTCACAGTGTGCTTCAGGCATTTTATCCTCATTCAGACAGCTCACTTATTATATGTTTGAAAACGTAACAGAAGGAAGAAGTACTCCATTCCTGTCCACAGTCCTTGATTAATGGAGGTAGACACATCCACCTTTTAAGTGACTCAGCCTAGAGCTATTAGCTGATCAGAAGAGCTTAAATAATTTCTGATTTCTCACAGTGAATCTCTCCCCTGGAAGTTTTGTCTCTCTTTTCCTCTGCTCCCTTCTCAGCTTTCTCCAAGGAATGCTCTTGCAATGTGGGAGGCAGGCTGGTGTCCTATCAGTAACTTTATTGGAGTTATTACACACTCCTCCCTCTTAAAATTCAGTTTGTTTATTTAGGAGCCTGTGTTAAGCCGATAGGGATGGAATGAAGTGCCCCAGCTTGGCATTCGCTGTGAGTGCAAGCAAAGAAAAGGCTTCAGTGTGTTTAACTGACCTTTCACAACAATAAATCCTTACTTATGGATGCCAGTATACAGATATGGCCTGCAAAAGAAATGTTTGAAGGAACATGGATTGAAATTCCTTCCCAAAGATCTGCTCCTGGGAGAGTACAAGTGAGCATTTCCGCTAAAGAAATAGGCTTCTAAATTTTTTTATCTTATGTGTTTAAATCGAATTAAGGGGCATTATCTTGCCTTAATAGGCTGAAGTTCTGGATGACCTTTCCAGGCTTTTTACATAGTAGAGAGGAAAAAAAAGGTATTTCTCTAGAGGGCGATTCAGATCATAAACTTATTTTAGCTATATTGTATATCTTTTTATTTATGAATGGATAACAATAAAGTATTTTTTTAAGCAATATAAGTGCACTGGGATTTTTTCCCCCATATTTTTTTCTTGATTTAGCTTAAAACCAATTGGTTAAAAGTTTTTTCCACTTTATTCAGGGCCTCTGTTTCGCTCATCCCAACAGCCACGTTATCACAGGGTTTTCTTTTTCTCTTTATCTTTTTGTTTCTTACTAGAGAGAGTAATATCCCTGTGAATTAGACATCACGTCTGTTCCTTAATGGTAGGTGTGGAGAAAAACAGTTCAGACAAAAGATCCTAGATCATGATCATTATAGTCTGACTTTTCTGGAGTAAATGTAATTTACGTTGCTTCTCACTCTTTTTTCCCAGTCTTAATAGGTTTTTTTTCCCCAGTTTTAACTGCTTCTTTCAAAGCTTATTAGCTCTTGACTATGCAGCTAAGATGAACATAAAGGAGCTTTTCGTCTTTCAGATATCTTCATGAACTTGCTGTTCAACCATTAGCATAGTGAAAGAATAGTACAATACAGCGGAACCAGTTTATAGGGAAACTGGCGCCAAATATTAGTATCTTCAACTTGCACTTCAAGTTAGTTGCTTACAAGGAGGAACTTTTATTTAAGACACATCAGGAGAAAAGGAAACCTAGAGAAACAACAGAAATTCGTATATATGCTGCTATGAAGAAGGAGGAGAAAATAGTTATATAGATATACAGTCTTGTGCACTTATTTATTCTGTGCAGAATTCCCTGATGATGACAACTTCTTGAAGTCCATAAAAATGACCTCTGCTTAGATATGAATAGTTGCAATCTTTTTTATAATTACAATGTCCTAGCAAAGAAGCAATAGTTGAAATTTTAACAAGGAAGAAGTTCGAATGCTTTATTGCAAGTGAATTAAAAATGTCTTTGAAATTTTGTAGGAGTCTTAATTGCTCTGTGCATGTTTCTCCAATCCAAAATGACTGTAGAATAGCAACACTGGAGGTCAGAGTATTACTGTGAACAAAGTGACTTGCATCAGGGTTGATTTGATAAAACATGTACGGGAACAGAGTAGCCAAATCTTGCTTTAATTGGAATCAACTTTGCCAGAGTTACGAAATAGTTGGTGAATATCACTATGCAGGGATCACTCCATTTAAGTTTCATGGTATTCATGGAACAGCAGTATTATACTTTTGTGCTGCTCCTGCACAAAAGTGAACCTTCCCCCATGGGTTCTGCACGGCTGAAGTTGATTTGCCACAAATGAACTCGGATTGCAAATCAGGAAGGCGCCGTTCTCTCCGTCTCTTTGCAGTGGTGGATCTGAACCTCCTGAAGGAGGAGGCGCGGCTCTACAGTTGCACCCCGCGCAATTTCTCGGTGTCGCTGAGGGAGGAGCTGAAAAGGACGGACACCATCTTCTGGCCACTGTGTCTGCTGGTGAAACGTTGTGGTGGAAACTGTGCCTGTTGTCAGCAGAGCTGCAATGAGTGCCAATGTGTGCCAACAAAAGTCACCAAAAAATACCACGAGGTATGCACTGGCTTTACATTTGCATGTTTGGAAATACTGAAAGCCAATTAAGGTGTTTATTTTATAATAAAATGAATACACCAATATTAATATTTTATGTATTGCACTTTTATTTAGCATTTTAATTAGGTATTGCATTTAAAAAAGTTCCTTGTTAATATACTTTCCTGTGCAACTATTAATTAGTTTCTGAGATACTGACTGGTCCGGTTCAGACACATCACAACCATACCTTTTGTTCTTCTTTCTCTTGTGGTAGATATCAACGTTATGAAGAAAAAAAATGTTTGTTCGTTTCCATTGCTGTAAATTGATAGCTAAAATTATTTATTATAGAATTATCTAATTGGGTTAACTCTACTGTTTGCTCTTAAATAAAATTAAGTGGAAATCTGAAACTGCAAGACTCTTCTTTGGTAAAACAACATGATTTAATCATGTTCAACATGATTTAATCAATTTTGTAAATGGCTTGAGGTAAAAGCAAAAATAGTAACGGGTGGGTAGAATTAATGAAGAAATTCAGTTTTAATATGCTTCCTGTAATGCAGTGGGTTTCCAGTGCAATTTACCTCGTAGTGTAGGTACGTGATAAAACACTTGCTGGTTTCTTGATGCTTGGCTCTTTCTCCTTCAGGTTCTTCAGCTGAAGCCAAGGATTGGTGTCCGAGGATTGCATAAATCATTGACAGATGTACCCTTGGAACACCACGAGGAGTGTGACTGTGTGTGCAGAGGGAATACTGAAGGATAAACATGATTTATTTGTGCTGTTTTCTTTCAAAGCACATTCAATCAATGGCTGATTCTATTATGGGGCTTGTGCATTATCTCCTTCTGTAATCTCAGTTGTTTGCTTTGGGGATCTTCCATCTTGAAGATTTACAGTGAGCTCTAAAAAGAGGAGAAGCCAAACTGGGATTATATGTTGTGTGACAGCTCTGTTTGGAGGCCCAGTGAAAGGATGGGAGAAAGGCATCAATGAGGGATTTAAAATATATGTATTGTTGTTGTTCCCCACAATTTTCTTGGCAATACATGGATTTATAATTTAGGAGTAAATAATAGATTTAGAAGGCTGACATCATGGAGACTTGATCCTGCTGGCTGTCTCATTTCTACAGCTCAAGTACATCTGGCCTCTGGTTGAAAACACCTGAAATCTTTCTGTGTTCAACTACTCCTACGTACTCTAAATCAAAGCGTTCTCTGTTGTATAAACTTGGGTTAAAACAGACTCTTTTTCTGAATTAAATTTAATTTGTCTAATGCTGGTAGGAAGGACTGGATTTTTCCATATGCTCTAGTAAAGCTCCTGCCTTTTAGAAGGAAGACTGGACAATAAAGTGAGCTAAAGAAGCAAACATTGAAAAGAACAGCGCCTTTATTCTTACTACTATGGCTGATGATTTTTTTGTGTGTTTGTTATTTTTATCGTGTACATTTTTATACTCTCCTTTTGACGATATAACTATTTGCTTTTCTAAACTTGTTAAATATATCTATTTTTACCAAAGGTATTTAATATTCTTTTTTTTTTTTATTACAACCTAGATCAACTATTTTTTAGTTTTGTGAGACTTTAAAGCCAGGTACAGTTGGAGGAACAGAGGTTACAGTGGGAAAGAAGTGTGATCTCTTTGCAGTTTGTTTCTACAAAGTGAAAAGTACAGTTTTTTAACTGGATGCACAGTAATAGTAGACAGAGATGTGTGGATGAAACTCTAAGCTTGCTAGCTCCATGAGACTAAAAATATGAGAGACAGAGGTTACTATAATCAGTTTCAGAAGCTGACTTTAAAAATTCCCTTTCTCCATACTGGCCTTTGTTCAGGTAGAAAAGAAATGAGCATAGATAGATAGATGCATTCTGGCTTGTTAAACTCTTTAATTTCTTTAAAGGAGAATGACCTACAGTGTAAGAAAAGAAACCAGTGGCTTGCAGCCATCATGATGCATCATGGTCATGGGAAGGCAGCCTTGTCAATGGTGAAGTGTATGGTTTTCCACGGACAGAAATAGCTGTTTAAGTACTGTTCACTCACAGGAACGTAACACTCTGCAGTGCAGTTTGATGAACTCTATGGTATCGTTCTTCTGTATGTTATATTCTTTAACCAATACACTTATCCCACCCTATGCAAATTGAAACGGAAACAGTAAAGTATTTTGCTTGTAAAATGCTTTAACATTATGCCTAGTTTATTTTTTTTTGACTATTGGTTTTTCAGATTGTAATGAATCACAAAATAAAGTAATAATGCTAATTTTTGGAGAATAAATGTTTCAGTGTGGTTGCATATTTGTACTTGTCAATATACAATTTAATGGGAAAAGTTAGGATGGTGATTTTCTCCTTACCATTTTGAAAGTCAGCTCTGAAAGCAGAAGTCTTCCGTTGCCAAGACTTCCACTTGCTTTATTGATTCTGCATTACTGTAAATCTGCAAGAAGAAAAAGGAAAGGAATTAATGTGATGCTATTTGTATAAGTATTGAAAATGTTAAAAATTGTGTGGATATGAAGCCATCAGACTGAAATAACATCATATATTATTGTTTCCATAGTGAAAACAGATTCTGATGAAAATTTGGGGTTTTTGCAAGTTGGTATGACATTCTGATACCAGTTCTGGAAAACACTCAGGTGGCTTCTTATTTTGTCCCCACCCTCAAAATCCTACTCAGTAAGAAAAAAATCTGGTAATTATATATAATTGTCCAGTCTGAATATTTGTTAACCTTGTATCAGAATACAGAATTATGATCACACAAGAGACCTGGTTTACTTGAGTTTTGACCAGAAGTGTTTTGAAGGGATGTCGGGGATGTTTTGCATTAATGTTATCCCTTTTTTTTTTAATTTTAAGAGGTTTTGAACAGCAAGTCAAGCTAAACAGAGAAATCATGGCTTCTGGCATCATAGTTCAGCAGAAGAATGAAAAAAAACTATAGTTACATTACAGAATATTCTGCTGTAGGAAAAGCAGGAGGTCTCAACCTCTCTGTAGACTTGCTAGGAGAAGAAGGCTGGTCATGAATTTTGGAGTAGGTATTTGGTGGTAGCAGAGGAATTGGAAGTTTCTGGAACCATGTGTGATATGGAGAGTAATGTTTTCCAAATATCACAAGTAGATTTTTTTCTCTTGCTCCCCTCTGGCTCACTTTCTTCCTTGCCAATATCTTGAACCAGTTTCCTTCCCAACTGCTTGCTATGGACCTGCATCTGAGCTCCTTACCCCTTTGCTCCTTGTGTCCCCTTCACAGGGCTGTCTCTCGTCTGTCCCAAAATCAGCACCGCTTCTGTTTGCCACCCTCTTGCCAAGCATCGTTGAGCTCTGTGCCTCCCCCTCAGGTCCATGATCAGGCTTTGTCTTTTCTCTACCTCTGCCAGGACTTCATTTTTCCACCTTTCTTCAGACATCCTTCAGGAGTTTTGGCACACCACCTCCTCCCTGGCTGAAAGATTCTGGACAGGCTCATTTCTCCTACAGGAGGGGGAAAGGCACCAGCTGAGAGGAGCAGTGAAGGGTGTGGTTCTCCTGCTGGGTGCTGCATCTCGGGTCCTGCCAGGCAGAGCAGCTGCCCCTGGCCATGGGGGACATCCAAGCAAAAGGCGTGGTAAAATCTGATTGAAGATATTAATAATGAATTACCAAAAAGTAACTAACGGTGCCTTTCACAGCTACAGGTAATGGCAGCTGAAGGCCAAGGATGTGTGGAAAAAGACTGACAAAAGTGGCTAGTAAGCCTGTGATTTTCTAATGTGGAATAAAAGTTGCAAATTTTGATCTTATATCTTTGTGGAGATTTTTTTTTTAAATGTTGTTGTGTATTTTAAGCCATGAATTCCTGAATTACATTAATGCAAGCACCAGTGTTTTTTCTAATGGGTCTAAACAGTGGAAACAACCAAGTAGAATAAAGTTGCTCCTGTAAACAGACAAAATCCAAATAGCATAGTCTGGATTTTGTAGGTTTTATCCTATGCCAAATAAATGTCTTCAGTCAAAAACAATTGTTACCCCCAGAGGAATAGGTGGGGGAGCTGACAACTGATGTTGAACCTTGTTTTTATGGATTTTGTAGATATTCACATTCCTGGAACCCTCCTGTCAGCTGTGGCCAGCATGGGAGTCATGTGGAGAAGCACCAAATTTTTACTCACCAAGGGCATTAACTGCAGATCTCTTGGCTCTTAAAAGAGCTTAAGTGTTTTTGCTCTATATGTGCCTGGTTGAACAGGCTTACAGCTTCTTTTCAGCAAAAGAGGAGAAAAAAAAAATGCAGATGATACAACAGAGTGTGTGGAGAAAAAAGATAGAAGCACAAAAGATTTGTTTTTTTTAGCTAGTACATCAGCTAATGCAAGCTGTTGATTTCCTTTCTAACAGAGAACTGTGTTGAAACTCAAAAAATTTGCAATTCAGGTGCTAGCTGCTTAATTAGTCTCATTTTGACTACTCAAACTCTGGAAATAAAAATTCTAAACATTTACTTTCTGTTTGACTTCTTACGATACAATAATAGTGCTGCTATACAAATCTCTCTCACAAAGCCTCATGCAGAAATACTAAAGAATCATAGTTGCAAGATTCTTGTTCAAACAGGTGCTGAAGCTAAGCAGAACAGCTTTTCTGACTACTCTGTGTGATATGCTATTTAAATTGCATTCAGCAGGATTGCTCTTTTTGCATTGGATGCTTTATCAATTTGCCTTTGAAAGTCCTTTTGTGCACCTTTTAAACCCAAGAACAGTGGCTTTGTTTGTCTGACAATACCACAATGTGAAAGTATGGCTGCTTATTTCAGCATAAATTGGGCAAAGTTTTTGGAGAAGACAGTTTGCCTGTTGCCTCACTGGAATTCTTCATGACTGTTGAAAGAAGGATAAATTTACAGCTCAGTCATGGGAGAAAGATGCCAGCATTTTCTGAAGTTATTATAGTACATAATCTGTATTCCTGCTCTGAATCTTGTGTCAGCCTTCATTGAGCTGGTCTGTCTTCATCAAGTACAGAGGCAAAGTCTGGCCCTCCCAGATGAGGCAGCTCTGTTAGGTGCATAAGGTTCATCAGTGGGAATACTTCGTACACAGGCCTGTTTTCTGAACAAAACATTGCTTTCTCCAAGAGTCTTAAGGAGTTTTGTGTCTGGAATGGCTTTCCATATAGCTGATTTGGCCAGCTTTTTTTTGCCTAATGAACTAAAGACAGAAGTGCCAGTTTGACTCAAGCCCGTATTGCTTCCTTCAGATTCTCCTTCATTGAAGACAGACCCAAGCCAACTTGGATCTGGTGTCTTTCCTGTGTAGTATGAGTGAAAAACCACATCTCAGTAGGCTTGCTTTCCTTTCACTGTGCAGAATCCCAGTAAATTAGCAAGGTGAGGAAGAAAATTTGTGTACCTTTGTCTTTGCTTCACACGTATCCGTTGGGTGGGCCTTGTCTCAGACAGTACCTGAAACTTATTTAAGAGTGAAGGCCATAATGTTTAGGGTTATTTTTTGAAAAACAGCATCACACAGTGATCAGAACAATTAGCAACTTTGAGACTCAAAATATAGTAAAATTAACTTCACTACTTTGTTCAAAAGGCTTCATTTAGAGACTGGGAAGAAAATGTTTAAACTTTGATTTCACTCAGTTCGAGTGAACTTTCCGCAATTTTGGAAGAGAGGCTGCTTTTCACCCTCATTAATAGTTTTTTAATTCTGTATTCTTTTGTCATAAGTTGAGTGATTACCCTCAAAAACAGTAAAGAAAACACATAAGTCTCTCTTTCCTGAGGTTTTAACAGGCTGGACCCCCTGATTCTTTCAGCCTTCAGGATGACATTGCTTTTATTGTGACTAATATACTTTTCAGTGAGGAGAGATCAGTGACCTGTGTACCATGTAGCATCTCAGTGCTTGAAGGCTAAGCAGACTTTTGATATACTTGCAGAGAGGAGGTGCCAGGAAGGATATGCCCCACATGCAAAGCCTCAAAAATAAATCTGTTTACCTGTGACTCACTTTAGTTACTTTTCATGTCTCATGTTGAAGGGAAGTGTTGAAAGACAAAGTATATCTGAACTATAAAAAGCTTTTCTATCCAGAGCCTTAAACAACTAAGTATAACAATAATCTTACTCTGTGTTATGCTGTGTAGGTAAATCTTGGAGCTTAAGCACAAATTTCTGATACAGTCAGAAACAATCTCCTCTTGGCTGGGGAGCAGGGTGAGAGGGCATCCTTTCCAGATAATTTTATGGCATCTGGCTCTTCGG